TGCCTTTCGAGACACTTTAATTTTCTTTTCTGCATTTTAAAGGAGGTGTTCGCTCATACAACTATCTCATGAAGTTTGTCATCAAGCTATCTCTTTCTAAAGGAAAATCCTGCACACTACTCTTGCTAAGCATCACTGCTATATTGGAAAAAAATCACAACATTTCAGTCCCTCTGGACCTTCGTCAAGTGCGTTCTTAACTTCATTTTCTACAACTTGTCTTTGCAGTCATCATCCCATAGGCCACACTTGTTATGTTATTTTAAAACTTTAGAGTTGGCCAGTTGCAGCATGACACCGTATGTCATCTTCCTGCAGAGCATGTAACAAAGAATCACCACATACTCAAAAATATACATGAATTACATGGTGTTCCTCCCCCACTCAACCCTAGCTTTGAGGACAAAAAAATCCCATTAAAGTCATAAGATGAGGGGTTTGCTCTCACCATATGTGTCCTGGCCTCTAAATCTTTGAAGTCCTCTTCCTGTACTCCTGCCATCATCTTGTAGAACTCCAGGTTCTGTCTCATCTCCACGTGATCGGGATTGGCCAGGAAGAATGTGTGGGCAGCTGCCACCGCCTTGTTCAGCTTATTGATCTGAAAAAAAAAACACGGGTTCAGCTCATCCTCTTTGATTGAAGGTGTTTTAATCAGAAAGAGCCGATTAACCCTTACTGACAGGCGCCTTGGCAAAACATGTTTGCCAGATCTAAATTGTTTCACCCCCCCTAGAAGCATGGATTAAACTACAAACACAACCCTGTTATGACTGTATTAAGTTCATTAGCCAACATGCAACTGAAAACGACAATTTTAGATGCTTAAAAGCAACAATATCATTCATTTTAAGTTGATTATGTCCTCTTTGGAATAAGTTACTTACTCTCTTTGAACCTGTCACTACAGCATGTCCAAGAGCTAACCTGTATGCTACTTCTGTTTCACTTAAAGTTCCTGTAATTAATTTTAGCTGGTTATAAAACGGACTGAAAGAGGCCTCTATTTGACCTTTAAAAGTCAACAAGACGACAAATGACAGGACTGATAACTGTTGGCCAGTTGTCAGACACACTGAGTGACAGCATGCTGCCGAAACAACCTTCTTTAATGTATTCTACAGACTCACACTGAGTGACACGTCTGACTGTGCAAAGAGGGAAGGGGGAGTTTTTTTTCTCACTATGTATGGGCAAGAACAGCAAAGAGAAAAGAGGTACAACTTTACGGTTGTGAAACAAAATCAACGTAAAAAAAACCCAGAAAGTTCCTCGCTGGAGCTTTAAGTTGCTTGTTGCTGTTTGGTCTCTGGCTTAGTTAGAAAATCATTCTGTAGCGTTTAGAGCCGTTTACTGGAAATAATACTAAGCGTGCGAGTTAAACCAAACTGTAAATTTGGGGGTAAAACTAAAACAAAGGGCTGACAGTTCCTTCATGCTTTTCAAAATACAAAGTAATTTCAATATATAATGCGTGCATTGCTTTTTAATTGCATTATACTTAACAGACCCTGGTCTTTTTTTTGCTAACTTTGTTACTCACAAGTTGCTGTTTGAAGTTATAGGCAGCAAGCATACAGTGGGTGACTTCAGAGCTTTAGGAGAGGATTGAGTGTTAATTAAAAGTGTACAGAGGGAGGTCAAACCTACACCAGGGTCTGAATCCCACTTCTTTTAAACTACATAGTCATTAGTCAATTGTCCATAATATCAGGATTTGACTTTTTTTTTTGTCAAATGAACCTGACTAAACTGAAACTAAACGAAATCACTTTAGAGATACTTTACGCTGTCGAAAAAAATGAGCAAGCCAATCAGGCCTGTTCAAGTAATGAACAGACCTATGGCTGCAAAAGAGTTCATCTGAGAGTGACATTTAAGAAGGCTAACATTATATTGACCTCTAACTGTGACCTGCAAGAGATGTAACCAGTGATGTAGTGCAGGGTACAAACAGGAATACAGAGTAGACACACTTATTTTTCAGCCTCTATAAGATATACCTACTTCTAAACCTCTGAGTCACACCATTGATTGATTGACAATATTCAGTAGTATGCTGCAATTTTTTCCTTCGATGGTGAAGGGATCATTGTCTCGACTTTGTCTCTAATTGGCTATGACTAAAATGTAAGAGGAGTCCTACATGTCACTGTTCATAACAGAGGCCATTTATTCTCTGCTGGACGGGACACATTAAGAGTAGGCTTCTGCAGGCACCCCTACACCACTGGTTGTAACCACTCATTTCCTTCAACATAATCATACAGCAACTATTTTAGGGTTTTTTTGAGGTTTTTTACGGCTATAATTAAAACAAACACAAAAGAGGTCTTTTCACAACAGGGACCAGACCAACTGGCTTTGAGATTCAATCCAATGGAACTGATGCATGGGGAGTTTTGGCACACTAAGTCTGAGATTAAGCAGCTTTATAGCAGTCTGTGTTGTTTTCATTTTCAACGTCTTTTCTGATTCATGATTGAATTAAGGAGTTGTTTCAGTCATGCAAAGTGTGATATCTGAGATTTAAGATATTTCTTCCAGTTGCACAGATTTAAATTCTGCACCTTTAATATGCAGCTGCTTTTTAGGTTCTGTCTGAAACTAGTGTTTTAGAATACAGATACAGCCTATGTATAAGAAGAATTGTAAAGCCTAATGCTAGAATATTGGCCCATCTTGCTATCCAGTAATAAGCCTGCTACCCCGATGTACCAACAAAGCAATAACTGATTTGCTTTTTTGCAAGTTTGAGCCATGCAGGACTTCAGTTTGAGCACTTGGGCCTTTAAACTGCTGGATTCCAAACATCGACGTCCTCACGTCAGACTTCACACAGAGAAGCAGACTCCACCTTAAGACGTGGCACGGGAGTCTTGGTTTTTTTTGGGGGGGGGGGGTTGGGACATTTACAGTATCCAACTCCACAGAAACTCTGAGTGAACGTTTGAATGAGATTACAACGTGGATTTCTATGTTCATATTCATCTATGTGTTTAAGTAAGAAGTTGCAAGAAAAGATGTGTCTGCTATGTGTGATGCATTGATTTGCTACAAATTGAAAACAGTGATCGCAGCCCCAGCTTTACGCGTGTTGCTTCTAGTCCACTGGAAACTTTATACCTTAAAATATGCCACTTGTAAGTAGTTATACGGGGTCCTCTTCTTAAACTCCAGCTCCACTTCTGCAGTGACTTCATGAAGAGTCGGTGAACCCAGTTTCTTCAACTCACAGGAGTTCACGCAGTCTGCCCGTTTCAGGATTTTCTGGAAGAAGCCCAGGTCCTCGACAGACCCGGCCCCCGGTACGGGAACTCCCGGGCCGTCCAGGCGCTGTCCGAAAGCGGTCTGGTTGGCGCAGCTCAGCCGGCACTGAGCCTTCACATTGCGCACCGTAGCTTTGTTCCGGAGAGCCTTCTCCATGTTCAGGATGACCGACAACCATTCCCCCTTGTTGTACGCGTCCACCGCCGTGTCGAAGAGGAAATCAAATGGCTCCAACACGAAGCGATTGCTCTGAGAGTTGTCCGAAAAGCACAGAGGGAAACTCAGGCAGACGCATGTGAGTACATAACGGAGCTCCATGATGCTGGAAAAAAAAGTCAGGGATCCTGCAAGCAGCGGGGCGGCGTCTGAGCCAGGAGGACTGCAGGAGCCGGTGAAGAGAGGAGGAGGTGAAACTTTTCTCCAGCAGCAACTTGTCTGGACTGGAGGTGGGATTTAAACAGTGGACCCCCCCCCCCCTTCCCCCCTTCCCCCAAATCTCCCACATTTAGGTTTTATTACTACTGTCACATAAAACGGTGTTTTAGGTCTATAATCTGCAAGGAATGGAATGAAGGAAAGACATTTAAAGTCACATTTACTACCCAGGAACCATTTTCATTTTCCTTTGTCTCCTTAAATTGAGATTTAGAGACTTAGATTTAGATCAGTAGGATAGTAATAATAGTCAATTCGGATTAAATGTTAATAAGGGTTAGTAAATATGCAGAGAAAAGATTAACTTGCTTGAATTCTTGTTTTTGAATGCGCAGCTCTGTTTGAAAGTTTGTTACCATGAGTCAACAATAAAAAACGAGACAACACAATCCTTATGAACTCAGTTTTGCTTTAATGTCCATTTCAGCCTACAGACATGTCATTTAAATGATTTGTTAACAGTGCTTTTTTTTGGCAAATTATTGTTCTCAAATGTAACTCTCTCTGCAAAAGCATGCAATGGAAAGGCAACAGCTGTTTGTTTGTTTTTTTAAATACAATAAAACAAGTACAGAAAACAAGCTGCTTAATACTAGGTGTATATCATTTCATAATCAACTAAGCCATTTAAAATGATGTCTTGAAATATAGAGCACCCCCCCCCTCCAAACTTGTAACATGTAACCTTGTGTTTAAAGTATCTAATCATTTTGATCAAGACAAATAACATTTGTCTGCAAAGAAAATATTGTTATAACACATTTTCATGAGAGAAATGAGCAGCTCTGTTTTCTTATAGGTAGCAGGATATGAAGGGGCACAGAAATAAATAACTCTGCATTTCTAAAAGCAAAAGAAAAAGTTTCCAAAAATCAAGTTGCTATCACATTTGAAAGTTAAAATAAGTAAATGTTATATTACATATTTCACAAAACCGAGAGCAAAAGTGTTTTAAGTGTAGGAGAGGTGACTCTCTCTTGCTGATAATGATTTAGGCTATTTCGCAAGACTACACGTTATTCTCTTAGTTATGACACATCTTCTGTTTTTAGTATTTCTATACCAACGCTGAGCTGCTTTTGGCATGCCTGACAACAAAACCAAGTCGCAAGTGGATTAAAAAATAAACATTTGAAGTAAAAATGTTGATTTTAACTCTAATTTATCGATATTGTATGTTCAATGAATTATTGTATCTTATAGATAAGTCTGCGCTATTTGTTTTGTTACATGAGCCAGGCAGAAATCAAGACAACCATTTTGTCAGAATGAGGGCGGAGATTAAGGACCCCTTGAACGCCTCTCGTCAAACATTTGCTGCTTATAAAACCAGCCGGGGGAGCGTCTTTAAACCGGTGAAAACCGACCGACAGTCGTGTTTTAAAGTAAAAGTTGAAGTCAGAGAACATGGACAGGACGGTCAGCCTCCCAAACCAGCCGGACAAAACCACCAAAGGTAACATAAAAACTCTACTTTAAACACAAAGTGAAAGCTTTTACAGCTCCCTGTGCAGCACACTGAGCGTTTGTTGTCATTATTGTCATTATGCATGTTTGTACTTACAATTATTATAACATGTGAATTATTAATTTTATTTGAACTCGGGATTTTTGCATTGGATTTTTGCTGCAATTAATTAATTTTGTTGTTTAAAATTATTCTCAAGTAAAGGCACAAAAGGTTAAGATTACTTGACAGGTGAGTTTGGTGTCAGGTCATGTTACTCTGGCATGTCTAAAATATTTTACAAGCTAAAATAGTCTCAGAGGATGTGAGATTACAGCAGCTGCAGTAACAGTCTGGTAGTAGTAGTAACATTTGCAGTGACTTTCCCCTCGCTGGTTACTTTTGTTTCTGTTATTAACGTGATGTAACCATACACTGTGTACATTGTGATGTAACCCTGTGTGTGTTTAGTAACTCTGGTGGAGAGCAGCAGCGCCCCCAGCGGGCTGGAACTGGTCAGCTCCTACCAGACACACAGAGTGGGAGACCCCATGGACCTGGTGTCCCTGGCTGCACAAGTTCAGAAGGTATGGACTGAGAATAAAGAAGAAAAAAAACATCACATGACATCCTGATGTTAATTAATATATATATATATATTTTTTTTTTTAGGGAGATGATTTCATTAAAGCCAATGCTTGCAACAGACTCACAGTCATCGCTGATCAGATCAGATACCTACAGGAGCAGGCAAAAAAGGTAAGAGTACGTACGCTGAGCGGGCTATTCATATGAATATTATAGTGATCGTATCACTACCATTTCATATGAATAGCATACACACATTTTGCTGTTAACCTTGTTTTTGCCAATACTTCTGTTGCATTTTAGCTCACCAAGACAGAATGCATGAACCCAAAGTTTAATCCACCCAAAAATCTACAGATGGAAACTAGCACTTCTGTGTTTTTTACAGCTGTTCATTAATATGCACTGTCCCTAACAAATAAAATAAATAAAATAAATAAAATAAATAAATAAATAAAATAAATAAAATAAATAAAATAAATAAATAAAATAAATAAATATTTTGGTGGACAAGATGTGTTTTATATAAAACTGTGTCTCAGAGAGAGCTTGTTAAAAATATCAGTGGATAACATTTAGATCTGACTTTTAGTATCATCAGCCATTCTGAAAAAACAGACTATAGAAATAAACTATTTGTAGGGAAAAAAGAAGACATGCTTTCTGTTCAGTAAACATTTGTGTCCTTCTCTTTCTAGGTTTTAGAAGAAGCTAAAAGAGATGCTGACCTCCACCATGCCGCCTGTAACATTGTGAAAAAGCCAGGCAACATGTATTTCCTCTACGAACGGCAATCGGGACAGAAATATTTTTCTATCATCTCTCCTAATGTGAGTGAACAAACTGTTGCAGATGCATTTATAAGAATGTTTTTTTTTTTTTTTATCTGCCTTTGACATTATGTCACTCTGTGTTTACACTGAGTATGGCATATGCACAGTGCCTGTTACTTATCTTCCTCTCAGGTTGAGACCAGCACAGATAACTGAACACCTGCGAGCACGTGAATGTTATGAGAGATTAAGAGGTGTTCAAAGTCCATGTTCATTCTCAGTGAGGTTAGGGTGAGCAAGCGGCAAAAATCCAAGCCATTCAGGAGGGATAAGACTGGTTTGTTTATTTTGTTTTGCAGTTAAGAGAGGGTTCTTATGGTCAATAATTAAAGGAAAGTCAGTGAATTCTGAAGGAAAATACTACACATTTCACCAAAACTCTTTTCTTTTCCTTCTCTTCTAAAGGAATGGGGTCCAAGTTGCCCTCACACGTTTGTCGGTGCATTCAAACTTCAACACGACATGTCCTGGACCCCCGTAGACGAGGTGGAGAAGAGGGACTCGGAGCTCGCCATCATGGACAAACTTTTGAGCCAGCAGACAGCTCTACCTCCGTACACAGGACCCAGCTTCAAGGGCCTCTCTGACTAAAGGAATACAAGGAAACAAGGACAATACTTTTTAAAGGACATGCAGATGCTGACTATAGTCTTAACTTTAATATACAAACTGACAACTCCATCGATGGACGCAAATCGCTGAAATCAAAACAGTGTCACGGTGACTTTCATACACTGAGTTCAGTGTATAATACATTACTGCAAGTTTTTGTTGTATGCATATAAACTTCTGATGCTGCATGTTCATCATTTCAACCTCAGGATGCTTTTCTGAAAATCTCAAATGTGGCTTCTCAGACAAGCCTTTGAATGGACGCTAACAAATAAAGCTTTAAAACTCCTGTCAGTTAGCCTTTTATCAAAGTTGTTTAACTTGTGTTTTAATGGTGATCTTAAATTAATTACAGGGATTAGATTTAAGACTGCCCTGTTAAAAGTCCAGTTTAGATTCTGTGTTTTGAAACACAAAACACATATTGTCCGCACAAGATACTAACTTGATGTCATCTAACTTGTGCGCACACTTTTTCTTTTTTTTACTTTTTGTGGCTTCAAGGGTTATGTAGTTTTGTGTGCCAGAAGTCATTTTATTCACTCATTCTGTTGGAGGTTGTGCATGCCCCGACTGTAGATCCTTATGATTGAATCATGTGAATGATCAAAATAACCCCAAATCAAGAAATTCCTCTACAGTAATTCACAAGGTGCCTCCAATGTAGTCAGTTAAATTGAATTTTGAAGCACGCCTTCACTATTTGTGCAGTGCCACACTTCAGCCTACACGATTCCATGTTGTTCCTGTGCGAAGCATTCGACCGTCTGTGGGCTGGCCGTCACCACCTGCCCGAATGTGCTGACTTGGAGAATAATCACAGATTTAATTTTGTGATGGTTTTCATTTTTATTTATTTTATTGACACATTCAGAACTTCAAAATTATTTTTACAGTCTATGTTCAGAACATACAACAAATACTATTAAAAATGTGTGTAGAGGATAAACATAACAAGAGCAAAATACAAATTTAAGTTAAACAAAGTAAGACTATTTTATTTAAATATTAAACATCAGGCAAATGAAATCAGATAGCAACCTGAAACAATTAATACGTAATAAAATCAGGATTTGAATTTGATGTAAAAATATATTTAGTCCACATTATTTTTTTATTGTAAAACGACGAGGAAACAAAGAGCTTGTTCCCGTTTGGAGTCCGATAATAAATATAAACTATCTTCCTTTACACATGATGAATTTGCAATATTCCTTTTGTTTTTGCATGGTGTGGATTCACCTGACTGAGCTGCTTCTACGGCAATAGACTTGAAAGGGTTAATCACGAAAACTACAAATGTCATACTGAACTACAGGAAACATTTTTATTAGCTTCTGTTCCGGTATTATGACATATATTTTTTTTAAACCCCCTCTGAGGTCTGCGGTAACGTCCGCATTTCTAAATTACGTCATTTATTTACATCGCCTTTGACGTAGATCCATATTTACAGTTCTATGCGTCGATCCCGACAATGTGGTGACAGAGAACCAATCAGAACGAAGGGGACACGAAGAGCTAATGCTGCGTTCAAGTGCTGCTCGGTCGGTCTCAGTTCCCGAGTTGGGAAGCCGTTCTTCCAACTTCAGTGTGTTCTCGTGATATCAGCTCGGAAAGTAGGAATGTTGTAAGAACTACAAAATAATCAGCGTTGACGCTTACGAAGAAGTTATGTGGACATTTAGATGTCAGCAAAAAGTTAATGTGCAATACGCGAATTAATAAAAAGTTATGTAACCATTCACAAAAACAAATTTTCCCCCCTTTTGATGACGATTCTGACTGCAAGTCGGGACCTAATTGCTTTCCGAGTTGTTGTTCCGACATGAGTAGGTGTTCATGTGCATTTTACAACTCGAAGCTCGTTTTTCCGATGTGTCCGACACCACGTGAATGCACCAGTATTCCCGCTTTTATACGGCTCTGCCCACACACACACACACACACACACACACACACACACACTTATTGCTTTGTTGAACATTGTCTTTAGTCGACTGTATACTTATTTCTGTAGCTATGCAGGTACTGCAGGTAAGCACACACACATGTACACACACACACACACACACACACACACACACACACCTTTGCATCCCATTACCTTTTGTTTGAGCCAATAGGCAATTCAGTAGCACTCCTGAACCACTGCTGCTCTATGCAGGGGAAACATTGGGGTTGAAAAGGCAAACAGGGATTATATATATATAGAGAGAGAGAGAGAGAGAGAGAGAGAGAGAGAGAGAGAGAGAGAGAGCAGGGGTGGGCAACTGGCGGCCCGGGGGCCACATACGGCCCTCAGGTCAATTTTTACATATCAATGAATTGGAAACATGAAAAACATGACTAAATCTGCCATGAAATCATGAAAACCAGAAATATGTCCATAATAATAATTGATCACTGGTATGTGTTGAGTTAAATTTGAGACATAATCGACTGTAATCGTTTTTGTATGCTACAATTTCCCTCAGGCAGTGAGAATTAAATGAATGTGGCCCTTGCTGTGAACGACGTTGCCCATCCCTGATATATATATATATAGAGAGAGATGCCTCTATATTTTCTGTGATCTTTAAGTACTTATTCATGTACTTTGGTGGGAAGATAAAGTGTCCAAAATACTGTGTTGTCCAAGTTTCAGTCCACGTAAGTGCTCTCTTTGTAAACAAGCTGTTTACATTTGATTTTATGTACAGAGAGGAAGATGACCAGCCGAGGACCGCAGCAGCTATCCCAACCAGCCGCGGTGATCCTGGGAGTGATAGCAAGTCCTTGATCCTGTGGATAATATTGACCCCTTCCAGGAAAGGTAAGACACATTTTTGCTTTGTGTTTTCTATAAGTTGTTTTATGGATTATAATTATTAATTTATCATTACTTTGTTGAAATACATTTTTTACTATTGAAATATTTGCATTAAGTTAAATCATGCACTTTTCTCTACGTTCAAATAATTATTTAATAATATTCTTGTGATAAAGTGTTGCTATGGTAGAAATATTTTGTTGTTTTACTGTGGAAAACCTTTGCTTAGTGCTCTCTTTGCAACCAGCTATTTACATTTGACCTGTATATTTGCACACCTGACTGCTTTTTTTAATAATAATTCTTTATTTATCTATCATACTATGCACTGGCAGAGCTAGTATTTTGTGCTGTTATCTATGAGTAACAGCTTCTTATGCACATGGACCATCCATACCACTTTTTTATCCTGGCTATGTATTGTGGGCTCATGTTTTTTGTATGGGTGGGATATGTTTGTATATATGAGTTGTGATGTGTGTTTGTATGTATGCTGGCTGCTGGAACACCTAAATTTCCCTGCTGGGATGAATAAAGTATATCTTATCTTATCTTATTATTTATGTTACATCCACAGAGAGGAAGATGATCTGCCTAGGGACGCAAAGAGCAATGTCAGTCCTATGAGGCTTCGTCAAAGGAGATCCATTCCCCCCGCAACGAGGGTTAGACAGAGTGCAAAGCGTCGTCGGGTAGAATCTGCAACAGCTCAGCCAACACGGCTGGACCACTCGCCACAGGCATGGAAAACCGAAAAGGACCCGGATATCTTCCCCTTAAAACACCCACATTCCAGCCACGCAGAACTCCTGGGGTCCAGGTGGATACAACCATATCACAATCCCCCCTGGACCTTTTCCAGCTTTTCTTCTCTTTGGACACATTGAGTACACTCTGCAAAAACACAAAAATGCAGCTAAAAATATTGCAAAGGGGAAAAAATACCAATGGACAGATGTTTCAGTTGCTGAACTGCTGAACTTCATTGGTCTCCTACTGTTCACCTCAATGCGAACACTGACTAATGTCCAGGACTACTGGAAAAGGAACCATATCTTCTCAGTGCCTTTTCCAGCCACTATCATGGCAACGGATCGGTTTAGAATTTTGTCATGGAACATCCATCTCAGCGATCCAGATGAGGATGTTGAGAACGACAAGAAGAACGGAACGCCACCGCACGACAAGCTGTTTCGACTCAGGCCTCTGCTGGATGAGATCCGCATTTCCTGCCAGACACAGTATCACCCACGGATCAATTTGGACAGATGGTGGCAACAAAAGCAAAAACGGGCCTGTTGCAATTCATGGAGGGTAAGCCGCCCCAGTGGGGGTTCAAGCTCTTTGTGTTGCTTGATTCCAGCAATGGTTACACCGTGAATTTGAATGTTTACACCGGGAAAGAACAGTCGCACAGTTGGAATGGGTTGTCCTATGACAATGTAATGGATCTGATCACACCATCATATCTTGGGACTGGATATCACCTTTATGTTGACAGTTTCTATACCAGTCCCAAACTGTTTACTGACCTGAATGACATTATGATTGGAGCCTGCGGTGCTTACCGGGACGACAGGAAAGGCTGTCCCTCTGGAAGAGCAAATCCACCCAACAGCAAATCACAGAGAGGATCGATGAGATGGATCAGAGAGGACCCCCTGCTTTTTCTGAAGTGGATGGACACCCATGAGGTGTCCATGTGCTCCACACTTCACCAAGCATTCTCTGGTGAGATGGTCAAAAGGAAAGTCAAGGGCAGAGATGGACGCTGGAGTGCCAAAGACATTTCCTTTCCCCATTCCCATCATGGCTTATAATCACAAGATGAAGTCCATGGGGGGAGTTGACCCCTCAGACCCACTGACACAGTACTATTCCTCTCACCACGAAACATCTCGCCGGTATCGGACCCTCTTCCTTTACTTTTTGGACATTGCTACAACGAATGCCTACATCCTCCACTGTGACATCAGCAAGACCAAAGAAGTGAAGCCAATGACACAAGAACTTCTTAGAGGAGCTGACGGCCCAGTTGTGTGGACAGACAAGAAGGGTGTTCCAGCAACAGCAGCAGGAGCTATGACCATCTTCCCGTTCCCATCGCAGCACCCACAGATCCAAGCAAGAAGGCCACGCAAGGGCGAAGAAAGTGTCACCGCTGCCTAGAGGACCAAAAAACAAACCTGACACCGTGGAAGTGCAAGGCCTGTGACATATCACTCTGCCTTACAGTGGACAGGAACTGCTTTGAGATGTGGCATCTGTAGACACACACACATTTCAACTCATTTCATTTCTTTTACTTATTATTTTTAGCTATGTCACAGTGGCAGGAACTTTTGGAGTAGTGGCATAGCTAAAATAAAAAAAAACGCTTACCGGTATGTACAATGCTGCTTTTTTTGTAAATAGTTGAATCAATTCATATTTTTTTCTAAATGTACTTTTGATATTTCGTTTATTTTTTTATAGATTTGAAGTTCATTTTTCA